GAGAGACATAAGGCAAGTAGCGGTGTGTTGATATGGCTACATTTCATTATTTTTATTTCTAACTCCCATAACATCACTAGTATTACATGGACAAAGTTCTTAGTGTGTGGGTTGTACTTACCAAGACGTTTTTTGTATTCCTCTTAGGCTGGGATTTACAGGGATATTTCAGTATGCTGTTGTGCTCCTTTTTACATCATTCCAAGCGCACCTATTTTCTATTTGGATTTCCAGGTTTTTATACTTCGATAGTTTTTCAAATTCCTTTGTTTCTATGATACAGTCCAATGGGCAAGGTATATCATTTAGTAGGTAAGTTATTTTTTTTTTCAGTTTTTAACAATAATGTTCGGCCTATTTGCTTCAATCTTCCTGTCTGTAAAGATCCCATTAAATTATGATGTCTTCTATTTCTGTAACCGTCGCTGGGTGATGTTCATACCAATGTTTATTAACATCGTTTCCAAAGTTTGTGCACATTGCCCAGTGTAGCTATTGCTTCACTCTATCGTGAAGATTTTTATATTCATACTAGCAGTAGAGTCCGGCGTTGCCCGGGGATGTAACAGTAAGAGATAGATCAAGTATCAACCATCATAAAGACTGAAAAATAAAATTGACTAAGAATATTGTTTAAGGTTGACGGACACGCATGTCTTAATTAGTTTTTTTTGTTTTTTTTTACGAATCGGTCAAACCCAAATTCAAACAAAAACATTGTTTTCAATCGTTATGAATCTACCGATTGAATAGAATTTTATTATAAACAATTGTCTTGTAAATGAAATTTTTAAAGCATTCTGAATGTAAAAATAAAGAAAAAAGGGTGCAAGACAATAAGAAGCACTACCTGCCAAAAAAAGTGAAATTTTGTTGAAAAATGTAGGAAATCCGATCCCATATATACACGAACACACACACAAACAAACAACCTGGGTTTTATAATAAGTATAACTCGATATGAGTTTTCCCCCTTTCATTCTTGTGATGCCTCTTAATCGTGTTTTCAAATTGATTTTGTGCAAAAACAAATTGTCTTTTTCCAGTTTTGGGCGCTGTCAGAATCACCGCAAGGTAATTTTACGTAGTCCTGTGAAGTTTTGTTGAAATCGGTTGAAGAATGTAGGAAATCCGATCCAATATATAAACGCACACACACACACACACACACACACACACACACACACACACACACACACACACGCACACACACACACACAATCTGCGTTTTAAAAGAAGTAAGATGACGCAATTACAGAACATCCTGGGACTATATGTTTTATGGATTCCTAATATTTGTCAAAGAACCTGTATATACTTTTACCCGTAGATTTGTACGTCATATTTTTTATATATTCTGTTTATATGCTATTTTTATAAATACACATATTTGATTGAATGCTCTGTTTATAATAAACAATATTAACTACATTTACCGGGAAATTTGTTGTTTGAAAATAATAATTTGACTTTGCTCCACCAGATGCTTCTTCTGTATCTCAGTGTTATAGCACGTCAGGCGATAAGACGGTTTCGTGTAGGATACAGTTTCAATTCCTGTCGGAGGACACATATTTTCTATGAAATTTATTGGACATTCAGGCGAGTAAATGTTGTTAATACTGTTATAAAGCAGAGCATTTACTTAAATATGTGTATCTATAAAATGACTTATAAATCGAAAATATATTAAAATAACTGTCGAACTATATATATATATTTATGTCGATTTATATATATATTTAAGGCATTTTTAAAATTATACATTCTTTTTATAGATACGAATATTTAAGTAAATGCTCTGTTTTATAATAAACAGTTTTAGTATCATTTGCATGCCTGAATATCCGAGAAATTTTATAGAAAATATTCGTTCTCCGACAGGTATCGAACCTTTATCCTATACGGAACCGTTATTTAGCCTCATGTGCCTTAACCGATCGAGCCACGAAGATTGGCAAGGTCGATTTTAGAGCTTTTAAACTTCAATCTTCCATGAATCTCTCACGTATATTCATATCTGCTCAAAGCGTATCCAAATGTAAACAAATGACGTCACACATTATGAATTGTCTTAAAATAATTCTCAGACTGTGTCAATTTCATAATATATATATATATACTTATATATATATATATATATATATATATATATATATATATTTATATATAATCAAAAAGAATATACATCGAAAGTACTTACATCACCAAACGTTATTGAATCCATTCCTAAATAATCTAACGTATGTTTAAAGGAAAAGGAAACCCTAACCCTAACCCAGAAGCCCTGCAAAAATGTTCCCACATCAATATGTAAAAAACAACAACGTCTACTCGACCTACACATGAACACTCTTACGAATATACATTATCATCTGAATGACACATAGAGAAATTAGAATTGTTATACACATGTATACATAAAGCAATATTTACGTGTTTTTTTTTTCTCAGTTAGGCGTGGTATCCGTTAATTTCTTTGAATTTTGATGGGATGCGCCTTCTGTCCTTGAATATGGAGCGCTATAAAGTATAAATTATACTTACGTTCGTCTAGTAAGTCAAATGTACATGAAACAGGATTAATCATTGAAAATAAAAAAAATACCATAATGTCTTACTTTTCTTCTCCTTAACTCATTCTCTGATGAAAATTTAATAAAACTGAAAAATGTTAGATTGATGAGCGTTTCCTATTTATTCCTTATCTTATCATATATATATATATATATATATATATATATATATATATATATATGATAGATGCTACAAACATTTTTGGTTATAATGTAGATTGTTTCTATCTATGTATATATCATATTTTATTTTCCATATTTTTACTACACGGGTTTGCTGTCGGGCGACCTTCTTCAGGAAAATAAGATATTTGCACATATTATTAAAAGGAAGTAATTTCCCTTATGTTTTCGATTTCTAACTTTTGTCTTTTTGTGTATTAATACCTTTTATAATATGTGGAAATATCTACTCTTTGCCTTCGACCGGAAACTTGTTTAGCAAAAATAAAGAAGAACGATATATAAAAAACAAAAAACAAATCTATAATATAACCAAAAACGTTTGCGGTTTCTTTATGTACACTTTTCTCCCGTTATAAAAACTATAACCTCTTCCCTATATATATATATATATATATATATATATATATATATATATATATATATATATATATATATATATGAACTAATTCATATATATCCATATATGTATATAAGTGTGTGTATATATGAATTTAGTTGTACATTCATTTTCGAAGATTGTATTATTATATTTTATTTATATTATTTATGCAGTTAACCAAAACCATATAAAGACACAATACGTGAAAACGAATTTCGCGAGATTGTTTATTTCTAAAAGCAATGTTACGTTTAACCAAACTAATATATATATATATATATATATATATATATATATATATATATATATATATATATATATATTATTCTATTTTATCTAGCGTCTTGATCTTGAATTATGGTAGTGGATAATGTAGGATCCAATTTAAAGTTATTAAATTCACAGTTCTTTCACGGCAATCTTCTTGAACTCTTCGCTTCTATTTGTGAAGAAATTGAAAATTTAATTCATTTTGTTTACTTTCATAGCACCATTTCTCAATATATATATATATATATATATATATATATATATATATATATATATATATATATATTTCTTTTTTTCCTTCTTTCGAATTGCCATGTTCATATCAGCTAACGTCAGCCACAGAAGCCACTAAATTAAACAAAACATGTTTTAATACTAAGCCAACATTTATTCTTTTGAAACACGTCGGGCTAAGATTTTATTTCCAACGTAATCGTCTTCAGAATCAAAATACTTGTAAATTTGATTAAAATTTATACATTTCCATTGAACGTACATATGAATTGAATAAACGCGCATATACGTTGAATATGCTAGAAAGTTTCTACAAACGACAACTCCGAATGTTGATATGGAATAATTTCGCCAACAAGAACTTGTACGGTAGATGTCAAGAATCTCATTAATCTTTGTTCATTTTGGGAAACTTTAGACATGTTTTGCGAATGCATCCAGGAACGCCCAGTTATCAAAGAAATGGAGTCTTACTTTGAAAAGACTGACTTCAAAAATGTCAGAGGTCATCCAATAATCACCATAGTCACAACGCTGAACCGAGACATTCAAAGAACAAGGGAGAAAGATTTCATTTTTTTTCTTTTGTAGAAGTTTATGATCAAGGAAGATCTTCAACAAATCTTCAAACCCGCACAGACAGAGAATGCTGGCAAAATATTTTCGAAATAGGTTACAACGTCACTCAAGATGAGAGAATATGTTAATTCATGACCTCAAATCGATACAGTTTTGATGATGATGATTATTATTATTTGGTAGTCAGTTTTATATTTGTTATTCTAATTATGCGTGAACGTTTCTTTCTCAAAAAAGCGTCGTTGATAAACACCAGTGTTTCTTCGTTGATTGAGTTTAAAGCAAATATAGACTCGCAAAATGGGAGCAAAATAGGAACGAAATGGGAGGAACGCCTAGACATTTCAAATCCTTTCTTTCTTCTTTTAACAGACGAAGAAAGACTATTTTTCTTTTAGAGATTGAAAGACACATATCCATGTATGAAGAGCATAAAAATGTCTGGTACCGAAGTTGAAGTGTTACTTTCCAATAATACACGTGGCATCAAAATAGACAAAAACAATGTTACGATATTTCTAAAGGAAGACGTTGAAAAGTTAATAAACGAATTTTTTCTTTTGGAGAAGTTTCCAATGAAGGAAGATCTGCCAAAAATCCGCAAACTCGCAGAGGACAGAGAAGGCTGGGAAAATATTGTCGAATCAGTAGACAATGTCATTGTAGATGAGAGAACATGTTAATTCATGACCTCAAAATGACACAGTTTTGATGATGATGATGATTATGATGATGATGATGATTTTGTAGTCAGTTTTATATTTGTTATTCTAATTATGCATGAAGGTCTCTTTCCCAAAGAAGCGTCGTTGATAAACACCAGTGTTTCTTCGTTCACTTACTTTCAAGCAAATTTGGAAGTTAGAACGACATGGCATGAACATCTAGTCATTTCAAATCATTTCTTTCCTCTTTTACCAGACAAGGTAAGAGCCTTTTTCCGGGAGAGAGAAAAAGACATATATCCATGTATGAAGAGCATAGAAATGTCTGGTACCGAAGTTGAAGTGTTACTCTCTAGTAAAACATAGGACGTCAAAAAAGGCATAAAATAATGTTACGATATGGCTAAAGGAAGACGTTGAAAATTAATAAACGGAAAATTTACAATCAAGGAAGATCTGCAACAAATCCGCAAACACGCAGAGGACAGAGAAGGCTGGCAAAATATTGTCGAATCAGTAGACAATGTCACTGAAGATGAGAGAACATATTAATTCCTGACCTGAAATTTAAACAGTTTTGATGATGATGCTTTGAATAAAACTGCTGAAGATGTAAAAACATTATTTGAATAATGCTGCGAACGCATTGGTTAAAAGAATTTATTATCTAGTTGTAAATCGGCTTGTAATTAATTTTCAATTTTTTTTTTAATCTTTATTTTAATCATTATTTTATGTTGATAATTTTTTTACGATTTCTTTACGTTTGATACAATTTGTATGATCTCTCTAGATCAGGGTTTCCCAACCTGCACGACATTGCCTTCAGGTAGACAATTCCAGCAATGTTGATTGTTACTTTCAACTTTTAAGAAAGCGATGAGCAACTGAACAGCAAAAAAATGTTGGTCGACTGGAAATTTTGTTGGGCGATATAGGATTTTGAGAATTAAACATTTACTTCAACATATGTTACACGTAAAGAATTTTAAAAGGAGATGCACAAAGTACCTGTATAAAAAAATGAAAAAAACAGAAGCTACGCTTGGCTAACTGGGTCACATACGCCGATAAAAAATAAATATTCCTACAAACAACAAATATTTTGGTGTTTCCTAAGGATGTTGAAAAGGGTCATTAACATTGAAATAATATTTTTTTCCGATATAAATGACATAAGGGATGACCAAGAGCAAGAAAAATATTGGTTGATTTTTTTTATTAGTTGCTAATCGTGTATATACTTTTTCATTTAAAATTATAAACAAAAATGGTTTCAACCCTTGAAACCCCACCTTTATCCATAAAGTTATTGTTGTCCATTAATCTATATTATATACATTTTGCAATAGTCATGTTTTCTAGTAGCAATAGCAGCCACATTTGTTACCTCCCTTTGATATTTCTAACTACATCATAAGATCCATTTATGAACTAGTAACAAACATTTACTGAACAATTTCTGTATGCTTTTGATTGTTTACAATACAGGTCAGCAGTGGAAAATGTTTCTATGTGAAAGTGGGCTATCAAGCAAAAAAAAGGTTGGGAGCCCCTTCTCTATACAACGTTTTATTTCTCATTTTTAAGTTCATGAGGATGTGTGTGTGTGTGTGTGTGTGTGCGCGCGCGCGCGCGTGTGTGTGTGTGTGTAACGATTGCACGGCCGCAAGACCGACTTTGCATTTCACAACTCCCATCGATAGTGGAAATAATCGATTTTTCATGCTTCTACGGCACTTTTCATGTAGTTTGCGGCCATTTTCTACTGGCCAAAGTGAGAGCCTATAGCTGGCTGCCACGAAAAGGCAGGAAGATTCTATTGGACAGCGTGAGAGCCAACGGCTGACTGATACGAATGTTAACTAGCATGCAAAAAAAAATCGATCGCTGCATTCGTCACAAGTGGGAAAAATTTAAATCTGCATGGCACTTTACTCCAATTGGCTCATTCTCTTGATTAAACTCAACGCTGATTCGATTCCGCAGAACTGGGTTGGGTGTGAAAAAGTATTTGGTGTTGACATTCTTTTTTCATTCGGTTTTTCCAGTTACGAGTCCTTTTTTAAAGCTGATCGTTTTGTGTTCATTTTGTTTAGTTCATTTTTCGATTTAATGTTTAATAAAGAGCTTAGAAAAAATTCGCAGTGTGAGATAGGCAAAAAGTAAGGCATGTAGCAGTATCAGCACGGCAAAGGACACTCCTTTAAAGGCAAGGAATGGCAAAAATATTTTATGTCAAGTGATAGCGATTGTTGTATGAGTCGTACGATTTTTGAATCAAGCAAGGGTAACGCTGGGCCATGCTGCTAGCATATATATATATATATATATATATATATATATATATAACCGATATGACGAGATATAACAGCAATATTAATTATATTCAACGGGCGAGAATTGCGAGCAAAGAAACTGTTAGAATAGAACTTACGGTTCATTTAGAGTGAAACAGTGAGACCTAGTAGCCAACCTAGTAGTGCGTTGAAATTTTCGCTGTCGAGTTGCCAAGGAGGTAAGCTCATTAGAACAACTACTGTGAAAGTATTTATAGAAAAGACAGATGGACGACACGTGTCGGTTGTGGGAATATAGCTGAAATCGAGATTGCAGGTCAGGAGAGATAACGTTACATCGTGTCTAGTTTTCACAATTCACCCTGTATAAGGTTCAAAAGCCACTCGAGGTAGACGGTTATAGAGTAAGAGGGTATATGTGAGGAAGATAATTGTTAAACCTAGACTTGAACAGGTTAAGAGAGTTGTGTTGGGGGAAGTATCCTCTTGGGAATCGGTTCCATAAAGTAGCGGTTTGTGGGAAGATGCCACTCGAGTTGAATTTACATCTCACCAATGGAATCAGAAGGGTGTTTTCTCTAAAATGTGCGTGGCATCGCAGAAGTTAAGGAATATAGTTTGCCTGAACACTTACATTGAAAACAAAAAAAAACAATAGATTAGCGAGAGTTTGACGAAGTTTCGTCTGTGATAAAGGAATTGCAGAGTGGATAAAAGATTTCGCTTCTCCCAAGGACGCCGAGATGTTTTTAGACTCTATATGACATCTGTGCTCCATTTTCGGCCTGATCTGTCTCTTGTAGAGGATAATAAGTGGAAATGGGTTGTTGTAACCTAGGAAAGGTTACTGAATGAGGAATAACGAAAACGGCAGTTGAAAATGAAATGGTAATGTTTATAACATCAGAAAAATACAATACTCGCCAGCGGCGTGAAGTTGGTAAACCACTGCTAGTAGTGGACCACTTAGCATATTATGATATTTCCTTGCCTGTCCACGAAGGAGGATGCGGCACAAGGCCAAATTTAATTTGGGGGGGAATCCGAGCCCGTAGGCTCGTGCAAAAATTGCCCGTAGAACCCATATGCGCGGGATCGGGTATCTATCTACCTACCCGGACGAGACTCTGCTCTTCGGCATAGTCTCGTCCGGGTTCCTCTTTGTCCAAATGCAGAGAGTTCGACACGGCAAGAGCTTCCCCCGATGCCAGCTCACGCTGCCAACTTAAACAGTATATTATGATATTTACCTGCCTCCCTACGAGTTAGGATACGGCACAGGGCCAAATTTAATGTGGGGAAATCCGAAATCGTGGGCTCGAGCAGCAATTACCGGTAGACCTCGCATAGGCAGGATCGGGTATCTGTCTACCACCCTGGACGAGACTCTGCCCTTCAGCATAGACTGCCAGCTTAGACAGCATATTACCCCAACTTACGATAGTACTCAACGTATTTATGAGGATTGCGACATACCCGTTAGTACATTATTTACATTATTCGGACTATTGTCCTCATCTTTGTCGCCATATTTATCACAACGTTTCGGCCGTTGTACGCTCCGGCCTTCTTCAGGTGGTTGGAATTTCGAACTGAACCCTTTATTTCGCTCACTGGGGTAGACTGTTCTAGTTCCACGTGCCATGTTTGATGGATGTCAGTTATCAGTTATCTCCTGCTAATTTCCCTCTTAAAGTTCTCCACTGCCTTAACTGGGTATTGAACTCACACTCTTTGGGTCTTGTCACTGGATCTAACCAACGCCTTTATCCACAAGGGCACATGGCACAGTGGAGCGAAATAAAGGGTTCAGTTCGAAATTTCAACCACCTGAAGAAGGCCGGAGCGTACCATGGCCGAAAAGTTGTGATAAATATGGCGACAAAGATGAGGGCAATAGTCCGAATAATGTAAATAATGTACATAATACCTCATCTCAGGAATATAGACATACCCTGTAGTGTTCATAGGTACGGTATATAACATGGGTTCTTACTGCAGCGGTGAAGAGAACTGACCATTTTTCCAATATATTTAGCGATGCATCGTATTTACACGTTCAACATGAGGTCTGGCTTGAATTCCTCCCAATAAATGCTCAAGGTATCCTATCATCGCGATCGGTGAAAATTCAGTGATGATACAACGTCACTAGTTTGGTTGGCGGTTTTCAGATCTATATTATAACTTATAAAGCAATACGGAATAACTTCGAAAAATATGGTAAAAAGAACTAGATGTCTAAGAGAAATTGGAGATTATCCAAATCAAGCGCATTCCTGAAAGTCTATATAGAATAGTAAGGACAGTCCTTCGTATATATTTTGACACTGGAGATTCAGCGAAACCTCCAGTACCACTTCTGATAAACGTCAACAAATTCTTGTAGTCATAAGGAATTTATTTTGAGTTGTGCTAAACAAATCTTTCTTTTCGCATAGTTAACTCTGTTAGATAAATGCTTTGTTTCGAAATGATGTTTTTCATGGTGGGAAAATTGAATTACACACTGACGCGTGCCAAGTTGTCATCGTCCTGCACTTTGTATGAGCCAGGAGCAGAGTGCAGAGGCAAAATAATACAAATATATAAGAAAAGGTGACAGCCAAAAGTAGGTATAATCAGATTAAAGGAATGCGTTCGATAATGCATTCACCTTATCGCTGTTGTTATTGGCCCGTCACAACCAGGAAAGAATAAACTATTGAGATAAAAGTAGTTAAATTAATTAACAAAAGACTTATTGTACACTTTCAGGCATAGAGTACGGAATTTTTCATCGGTGAAATAAAAAAAAAAAAAAAAAAAGCTTTTAGATTCTAGTCTTGATACGGTTTTACCTTCTAGACGACAAATGATTTCAAATCAGTACTAAAGATGGCTGACATTTTTCTGAAATCAACCTTAACTTTGAAAGTGTCGATACAAGACAGTTCACACAGATAAATTATTTCGCGTTCAAAGGACGTTAAAATGTTGTCTAGCCCTATTTACATATCTTAGGAAAGAGTAACCTAAGGCATGAAAATAGGGTTATACATTTTAATATTCTTTGAACGTGCAATAATTTATCTATGCGAACTGGCTTTTATCGACAGTTTAAAATACAGGGTGTCCATAAAGTTCGTGTGCACTTTTAAAAATTTATAACTTTATTTGTATTTGCGATAGAAATAATTTGGAAAAAGGACTAGAAAGAAGTTCATCTATATTTTTTTAAGTTTTTCTTGAAAATTTATTTAAGTTTCCACATGTCCTCCATCTTTAGCAATACAAAGGGTAATACGATTTTGCAGTTTACGGAAAATATTTGCCAACTGATTTACAGTAATGCCTGAAATCACATTAGTTATTTTAGCTATACATAAAACTAGGTACATTAAACTTTATAACATTTTTACAGATTATTTCTATCGCAAATACAAATAAATTTATAAATTTTTAAAATACACACGAACTTTATGGACACCCTGTATATGGTTCCTCTCAGAGAATGTCAGTCATCTTTAGTACTAATTTCAAATATATGTTTCCTAAGTAACATTAGCCGTTCTCTCATATGGAAACAAAAGGCATTCATTGACCAGACAGTCAGTACTACTCGGATTACACTTTATTTTACTCCCTAACGATCGGTCAAAAATTAAAATGTAGTATCTGTCATCAAGCGGGTAAAAGTGCATGTTATCTCTCAAATATGTTTCTGTCTTCGGAATGAACACAAAAAATAAATAAAAGATGCTTGGTCCCTGGGATTTCAATCCAGCGCCAGCACCCCACCCTTATTGTACCAAAGCGGGAATATTGGTTGAATATTGATGCCAGCTCGACGTTGGTTGCGAACGCTTAGACTCTGCAGTGTAAACCGGCCTTGTACTATATCCTGTCACTCTGGATGGGTAGACGATTCAATACTAAGTGGAGAATCTGTTTCCCTCATCAATAGTGATATTGACAATACTGAGGTATTCTTATTGGGAATCATTCGGCATTATATCTACAGATCAATCATTCGTTTTTGTTAGGTTTCGTTTATTTTGTTTTACGACATATCAACCTCACTATGTTATTTAATGACGACAAGATTTTTATTGCTGCTGATATTTTCTTTTTTTCCTTCTTTCTTTCTTTCTTTCTTTCTATCTATCTTTCTATCTATCTATCTATCTATCTATCTATCTATCTATCTCAGTATATTTTGTTTTGATTTGTTTTTTTTTACGGCATATCAACCTCAGTGGGTTATTTAATGCCGACAAGATTTTTATTGCTGCTGATATTATCTTTCTTTCTTTCTTTCTTTCTTTCTTTCTTTCTTTCTTTCTTTCTATCTATCTATCTACCTATCTATCTATCTATCTTCATATCTATCAATCTCTGTTTATATCTATCTATCTATCTATCTATCTATCTATCTATCTCAGTATATTTTGTTTTGATTTGTTTTGTTTTACGGCATATCAACCGCAATAGGTCATTTGATGCCGACAATATTTTTAGTACAGGTTTGTAGGAATAGAATATATATTCTTTGTAAGAAATTAGTTTGTAGATCAGGTTTCATTAACATATTTTTGTAAAGCTGGTTTTTACCAAGTGCCAAATATATTGCTGGGAAAATTTTTTAAAAAAATGTATTTCTGTTATTTTTACTATAAGGAATATTTTTTTATGCTTTCATAGTTCTTTTTTTAACTCCAGTTTAGGGGGTTAATTATTTGCCCATAGCTGGGACCCCAACAGATGCTACCACCCGGATCAGCGTGGACCTGGGAACACCAGACATTAAGAGGTGGTTCCACACTTTGCAAAACTTCCCGATCAGATGCCTTGCTATTGGATGTAGTTTATCGCCTTACCCAGGACTCGAATGTAGTTTATCGTCATACCCAGGACAAACAACAATTCGTTTGAAATTTCTATAACGCAATAACTGTTATTGTTCTTTCTAGTACTGATGGAATCTTCCTGCTTAACCGTATGACTGAAGTAGATTTCGATCTCAACATATTGATTATGTCATTATTTTCTCTTCGATTCGCTAATACCTACAGGATTCATTCGTTCAAAGCCACGTTTAATCATTGATCTGAAAAGCGGTTCCATACAGTATAGAAATTTCGGAACAATTTTGGTACCAAAGTACTGAAAGTATTGATAGGACGAGGCTATTTAAGAGCATTATTCGAGTTCTTAGGTTAATGTTTTGGGCTTGAAGCAATTTGCGATGTTTCACAAAACTAAGCGCAGCCAATACAATGCTCAATTTTCATACCGTCTATAATAAACTTGTTAGAATTGATCCACAGACCGAGGTATTTGAAGTGCTTTCTATGCACTAATGCCATATCCTTAATTGCTATCATAGATTCCAGGCAGGTGTTCTCTCTGTTTTTATTTCAATTCCAAATCATTGTTTCCGTTTTGGAAAGGCTTAAGTCCTGTTTCTTGATAGAGGACATTAATTTGTTTTAGGCAGGGTTAATTGTAATTTTAGTAATTATTTTCTTTTTTCTTTTTTTCTCCATTAGTTTCTCTTTTTTTTCTTTTGTTACTCTTCCGTTTTTTTCCTTCGAGATATTGTCATTAGTCTTAGTTGATAATTTGTAGATAAGAATGAGAAACCGTAAAGAAAATGTATTAAAAGAACAGTGCTGAGTAAAATAATGCTGCAAATTAGCATGCTAGCACTCCAGTTGCTAGATGTCACCAGATCATGCATTTATTCTCACAAGTTTTAAGAAACTGATGTTTTAATGTGCCACATTGTTTAGAGCTTCAGTTATCATATCCTTAGATTTAATTATTTCGTCTTACTCTTTAACAGATACATATTTTATAATCGATTAACACCAAGTAAGGCAGCTGTCCTAGGTATGACGATAAACTACATCCGCCTCCTGGGTAAGTCGATAAACTACATCCGCCTCCTGGGTAAGAAATAAACTACATGTGCCTCTTGCGTAAGAAATAAACTACATCTGACTCCTGGGTAAGACGAAAAACTAGATCCGCCTCCTAGGTAAGGCGATAAACTACATACGACTCCTGATTAAGAAATAAACTACATCCGCGTCCTAGGTAAGACGATAAACTAAATCCCCGTCCTTGGTTAGACGATAGACTACATCCGACAGCAAGGCCTCTAATCAGGAGGTTTTGAGGAGCGTGGAACCACTTCTTAATTGCTAGTGTTCCCAGGTCGACCCTGACATGGGGTGGTAGCATATGTCAGGGTCCCAGCTATGGGCAAATAATTATCTCCCACCAAAAGGGTTCAAAACGTTATAAAAATATAAAAATAGGTTGTAATACCAGCAATACATTTTTTGGAAAAATATTAACAACAATACATTTAAAAAAAAAAAATTACCAGCAATAAAAATAAATAACCCACTGAGGTTGATATGCCTTAAAACAAAACAAACCATGTAAAGTTCTATAGGTCCTTCTTTGGATTTTCTCAAGAACCTAAAGATGAATAGCAGGAGCACCAAACCAGATATGGCAACGGTATCCAATGCACGGTGGAATGGTAAATTTGTCAATGTTCAAGATGAACACTGACAAGCAAAATTTTCTTGCACCACACATTGACTCACCTATACTTGCAGTAGATACAGCAATTGATCTGTCTATATTTCTGAGGTGAGGTATTATGTACATTATTTACATTATTCAGACGACTGTCCTCATATTTGTCGCCATATTTATTACAACGTTTTCGCCATTGTACAGTCCGGCCTTCATCAGGTGGTTGGAATGTCGAACTGAACCCTTGATTTCGCTCACTGGGGTAGACACTTCTAGATCCACGTGCCATGTTTAATAGATGTCAATTATCAGTTATCTCTTGTTAATTCCCCTCTTTAATTTCTCCACTGCCTTTATAAGGTATCGAACTGTTTGGGTCCTGTCACTAGATCTAACTAACGCCTTTATCCACTGTGCCATGTGTCCTTGGGGACAACTGTTTATGAATTTCTGGGTTTTATAAACCTAATGTCTTCAGCAACCAAAGAGGGGAATTAACAAGAGATAACTCATAACTGATATTTATCAAACATGTCACGTGGAACTAGAACAGTCTACCCCAGTGAGTGAAATAAAAGGTTCGGTTCGACCACCTGAAGGAGTCCGGAGTGTACAACGGCCGAAACGTTGTTATAAATATGGTGACAAAAATGAGGACAATAGTCCAAATGATGTAAATAATGTATAGCAATTGATGTTGTCCATCTACTTCAGTTGAAAAGTTCAAGTCAAGAAGGCGCAATGTGTTCCTCTTGAGGATTCTAGCATCAGCCATGCTAATGGCAGACAGAAAAGCTTCTGAAAGTTGGTTAAATATTTGTTTATTTGACAATTGGTTGTTTTTGTTAATTGCAGTCTTCAATGTCTAGCCATTGAGCGTTTAGATATCTGTCAGGATGAATTTTAAAGCGCCGAATCATATTAACTTGATGGACTTCTATGAGGGTATGGTATTGACGTTCATACAATACAGCGTAATATCGACATAACTTCCAGCAAATATACTGACTAATCCTTTCATGTCGATTTTTGTATTTCGTCGGTGTCAAGACTGAACAGCCAGTGTTTAATAATCTGAAAATGTGTTTCTTTATATTATTTATGCCATTACGTTTTTATTTTTGACTTTCTGTTCGATACAGCCATTTCTGAAATCTATCACCTGTGACTAGGCAAATAAATGTTTTTCTTAAAAAAATATTGAAAAAAATTTTTTTAATATTTTGTGAGGTATTCATTAACACTACCGTTTATATATTAGATAAAGATGCATTTCTCAATATTTTAAATCAACATCCTTCTGAATCATACCTAGTGTATCTACTACTACTGGCATAACCGCTATTTTTAAATTCTCTTCCTTAAAAGTCAAATAACATTTGAAAAGAACAATATTTGAAGACGTCATAGAAATCCAAGAGAATTGCTGCTCGCAATCCCTACATAAGGAGTTCCGGTGAACACTGGTCTATTTGGCAGTCCATCTGTCTTCTTAGAATCCATACTTAGTCCTTTCTTCTCGCTTTCCTTTATTAACTTCTTTAGGAGTGGCTGTATTTTACTGCCTGTTTTTGATCTCAAAATTGTCTTTTGCATATTCAATGTTCTTAATGTTGATATTAATGAACCTTGGCCAGTCAAATTATTTGCTCGAGAAATCTTCAAGGTAAGGTGGACATGAACAGAGATTTTATTCTAGTCACCCAGATAAAATATTTGGATGTTAATGCCTTTCATAAATAATAATAATAATAATAATAATAATAATTATTATTATTATTATTATTATTATTATTATTATCATTATTATAGGTAGAATACTGAAAAAGAAAGAATTATGAAGAAAAGTTGCTATCACATTATCACCAGTTTAAGCCACTTTACTATCAATATTAAAATATTGTCCCTACAATAATAATAATAATAATAATAATAATAATTACTATTATTATTATTATTATTATTTATTATTATTATTCATTCGATTATTTCATTTTCATCCTATATTTAATTGAGGATGAAGAAGAAATGACAACATACCTCTTCTAATCTTCACCATCTTTTGTGGTAACATTGCTCAGGTCAGGACAACAATGCCGTAGTCTGAGCAATTTTAAGTCTTCTCTGAATATAAAAACCAGGCTATCTTGATTCAGATATATTATGTATTATGGCGTGCAGTTTCCTTTGTTCCTGTGCAAAGTGCTGGTATTTTTTAAAATTTTCTCCCTTTCAGTCTTTTTAACGTCGTTATCGACTTGCACAGATCTCTCCACTTTCCGTTGGCAATCTTCCCATGTTTTAAAGCATTAAGGTATCGTTTGTTTGTTTGTTTGTTTTTTGGTTTTATTTTTATTTTTTTGCATGCGATTGTCCTGTTTGATGTCATCACATATAATCATTTACACAATGTGTGAGCACGTAGATTGCAATTGGTGGTTTACGCCAGAGGTCAAATGACAGAAAAAAAATTATATTCCAGTCTTTTCTTTTTTTAAAAAAAAAGCAAACAAACTTTCTATTGGTTTTTGGTAATGCTATCAACTCTATGATTTCCACTCTCACCAGCTTTTCTTCTAAGCTCTTGTGAATCATTCCCAGTGCTCCGATAAACACCTGGACAACTGTTACATTCTTTTAGCTAGATTTCTTGATCTCCACTACAGAGTCGACCTATTTAATTATCATTAATGTTTTTTTTTTCAAGTCGGCTAACACGGCTAGAAAATAATTATATAATCAAGATGCTTACGTTGCTCATTAATTCAAACAAAAAATTAGGAAGGAAACTCTCACCAATAATATAAAGAGCAGATGCAGTTATTAAACTTGAAAAACGCATTTTCCTGAAAAATTGTTTTAAGGGAAACATTTTATAAATCTCAACGAAAAGCGCGGTCAATAGATGCCGGATATTTCACTCTATGAAAATGACCAATATTACCATTTCCGTTACTATTGTTGTCTGACATCGATATCGACTTTCTAGCATCTTCTTTGTTCTTTTATTCTTCCTGGGAAAGTTTGCTTCATTCTATGATTACGTGGTTCCCTGTCTCATCTTTTTTCCCCATATTTTGGTTCACTGCCTCCTCTTTATTTCATACAATCTACATTTGCCTTGTTTCTGTGTTTTGTCTATCTTGGGTTTCATATATTTGGTTCTTATGGCATTGATTATGGGTCGCGACGAAGAATTATTTATTTTATCTCTACAGTTTCTCTTCCAGAGTAAATTCCAGGTTGATTTTACTACCTTTTTCTGCGGAGTCGCTCTACATAATTATTTTCCTTCGCATTTATTTATTTATTTTTTTTTGGTGGGAGGGGGTACCATTTCTGTCTTTTATCACTTTCTGCTCATTCTTCAGAATTAATGCATTTCGGGGCTGTTGTCAGCATCCTTTGTTGTCTTTTGCGTATTGTTCGAGGCCACATGATTGGGAAAACGACACAGTTCTTAACGCTGACTACATTTTTCCCTTTCGATTTCTTTTAAAGTAGAGCCGGTCAGCATCGTATTATTATTATTATTATTATTATTATTATTATTATTATTATTATTTCCTTTGAATTCTGGCGTGTACACATATCTTTCTGGGTCACTCCCAGATACCTAAGGTGAGAAATGGCATCATGACACTTTCCACTGACAAAAAAAAAGAAAAAAAGAAAAGGTAAAAAAAATAAACTAATAAAAAAAAAATAAAAAAGTAAAAAAAATAAAATAAAAAAATAAAAATATTTTACATAGCTAAAGCCCTTCGTAAAGTCTGTGCTGTACTTGTGAGAACAAATTTTTTGACGCATGGGTTTCCAGGAATCCCTTCAATTAGTCTACTGGAATCTTTTCCAACAAATCCTAGGTCTCCAACTACAACAGGGTTTGTTGATGTTCCCATGTGCCACATATTTGAGATTTCTATTTCAAGGTCCTTGTATTTTGACAGCTTTTTAAATATCTTCAAAGATAAGTTGCAGTCTGCAGGGACTGCCATAACAATAAGGAGGCATATTTTGTCTTTGTGGCCTCTCTTCACGATTTCTGGCGATTAA